TAGAGGTGTCGCCTTATATCGAACCCCAGAAAGGCTCATACTATCTCTATGTTCCATGAAGTCGGATCTATAAAAGTGAAATAAAAACAAAAAATTGGACACACCAAATTGATAACGGAGTTCGGCCAATAATGCCTACGTCTCCAGACTACTGCAGATATTTTATTAGGAGAAAAGAAATATTCTCGTGTTTATAAAACACTTTCAAACTCAATCACCACTCACAACTCAAAAATACAAGAAGAAAAAAAAGAGCGAGCTAAAAAAAATAGCCTTTAGACAACTTCGTTTACTCAGTTTGAAGTGATTGGCTAACGGTGTATTGACCGACTTAGCCGATTTCATGTTGAACTATTGGATATTTTGATAGAAAGGGAGTTCTTTGGTCTCAAAATCTCAAGAATATTCATTCCTTAAAGAAAGAACCTTAAGTAAAGTATTTCTTTGAAACACTTGTTTGAATTTTGATGAATTGAGATATCTGGAAATAATATTTTTGATTATTTCTTCAGTTGACTTCGAAGTCGAGTTGGAGTCTATTTCTGTGTATTCTTTCGAGATTCAACCAAAATAACAAATCAAATAGATTCATAGATTTGATACCTTCTCTCCAAACACTATGACAAGTTGATCCGTGGTTGGAATTTTTTTCCTTCAATACCATCAAACTCACTAATAACGCCCAATTTCACTGTGAGATGTCTTCCTGCAAGACCCCTCATATCACCGACCTACGTAGTTTTTATTTACATATATTTAATTTTTACTATTTCGTGTACGAGCTTGACCTGTTACTCACTTTGTCTGTTATTCATGTATGATGTGCTATTGCACTCTTGACCGGCCCTTCCTGATCCTTCTTCGTTCGAGCCCCGAAAACCTGCAAAGACGCCGGGAAGTGTCCCGGCGGTGGACCTCCGACGCTCAAGTTGGTATAATCTCAAGAAAGGCGCAGTATAGATTTTAGGGTTTTTTTTTGTAACATACCTCCTGTTTCTCTGGCTTTACCTATTTATTAATAGCCGCTTAGCTTGTTCCCCACGCCTTGATATCTGCACATTAAATTTTCTGAGCCCAATGGACACTATGCTGGGCCCACATAAATTCGAGCCCCATAAGATTATTAGGTAGAGCTCCTTTGGGCCACGCTACCAATAAAGCTTTCAAGTTGAACCGCTGGCCCAACAAGTAAAAAGGCCGAGCCCCATTGGACCGAGCCCCACTAAGGCGGGCCCTATTAGACCGAGCTCCGATGGGCCGAATAACTAGGTGCCGGTTTACAATACCACTACCATGTGCCCTATCAATGTAGATATCTCTTCAGCTCGTTGGGTTTCGAGCCCTCCTCCAGATCCAAGGAGGTCAAGGCCACAACTGAGTTGTTGACCTCCTTCAAGGTACTGCAGCTCGAGCCTTTGGGACAAAAAGAGCTGACCCCCTAGCTTCCCAAGAAGACCGACCAGGTAGAGTTGAAGGAACTTTTCTATGAACAGAAAGGAGGCAAGACCTCCAAAACTGGAATATAACATAAAATGAAATACAAAATTGGAATAGAAATCCAAGGTGACGGTGCTCCAAATTTGGAGGCATCAGATTTATAATCCACCTTGTAAATAATATTCCGAATGCGTTGAGCTTAAGTGACTTGCTCTCACGCTCCTGATTTCTATGTGACGAAATACCATGCTTCGGAGTCAGACTTGGATATAAATTAATATTTTTATACAATAATATTATGTAGTTTTGGACTTCATTTAATGTATATATTATTCGCATTAAATCCTAACTGGTCTATTGCTTCTTTTTTTCTACAATTAGTTACCACAAACTATTGTAAGTTTCATTTTCCTACCTTACCATATATTACATTTCATTTTCGTATTTAATTCATACATCAATTATTATAAATATGTATTCTTCTTATTTTCAAATTATTTATTTTTTGACGATTTTCAGTTTGACATTCATATTATATATATAAAATACAGAACAGTGATATATAGCCTTATAAATAAAATCATATGCCTTATAAATAAAATATAAAAATTATTTACCAAACTAAATTAAAATATACCAAATAAAATTATATTTTATCTTATAAAGCAATAGAAATTTATTTTTATTATTATACCATAATATAGTTATTTTATTTGAGAAAAAAATATAAACTAATTATAAGCATCAAATTAGTATAAAAAATATTATAAAAGTTAATGTCTCGACTTAGATAGACTACATAAATATTGAAAAATATAATCGTGAAGAAAAAGTATATAAGCATTATAATTAAAATTATAAAAATAATTATTTATTTCATAAAGTCTAAAATATTACACATTATATTCTAAATTTTTGAATATTATAAAGTTGAAGATATTTTAAAAATATTACATTAGGGAGGAAAACCGTATTAATATAAAACGTAATCAAACCTAAAAAAAAATTAATTCAAAACTAAATAATTGAGTTGTGTGTGTGTGTGTGTATGGAGCTAAGAAAATTATCATTTTGACAAACTGAGTATAAAAATAAGGGTATTATTTTATATAATTAATTTTGTTATTTTTTTGTTATTTGTTGTATATTTAATTTATTATTATTCTACTATATGAACTAGTATTCGTCCCTGTGCATTTGCACGGATGTGAATAAATATTATAAGTTATTTATATGTATATAATATTAAAATTATAAATTAGATAATAGTATTAATTTTAAACATAGAGTATTATAAGTTATATTTATGCATATAATATTAAAATTATAAGTTAGATAATAGTATTATGTTTTAAAATTTGATCATTTGTTAAAATGAATAGTACATAATGATTTGATTGTATACGAATCAATATACTGATTGCATAATATTTAATAAATAATATAATTTTTTAATTTTGAGGGATCATGTCCAATTAATTAAGTGAAAAATATTAAATTTGAACAATTGTTTATGCGTTCTGATTCCCCTGTGGGGGGCGTTTCTATTCTCCTGTGGGGAGCGATCTTAGTTGGTGTGTTTGTGTCTGTTAGTTGTGTGTTTGTTTTTCTATTCTAGCGTGACTAGCGAGGTTCTAGGCGGACTTTTGATCCGTTCTCTCAGTTTCTAGTTCCGGGTTGTAATATTCAACCTTGGGCTGCTTTTTGCACAGTTGTGCGTTTTGATTTATAATATCTCTATCGTTTTGGCAAAAAAAACCATTGTTTATGCGATTTAAGAAATTTTACTATGACAGTAAAGAAAATAATTTATTTAATAAACAATCGAGTGTATTCAGCTGTTGGCTGCTGTGTATTCGCACATTTGTGCATTTTGATTTATAATATAGTCTATCGTGTTGGGAAAAAATAAAAAAATAAATAATCGTGTAATCAGATAAAAAATATAATATTAGTTTTAGAATAAATAACTTGAACACATAGTTCTTGCAATATAATCTTTTATGTTTATATTCATATATCATTTACTGTAAATTATAATTATTAATTTTGATCATAACTATTATATGACTCAATAAGAATATAATTATTACTGAGTTAATGCAAAATATAGCGGTTTTTATTTTAATTATCCCAAAAATATAATTAAATATTTTATCATTAATGAGATAGAGTGGATTAATGCCACATTGATAAAATTTGTTATGTTTATTTATTAAGTTATATTTTATGACTAGTACAACGCCCGTGTATTACACGGGTGCGTGCTAATTTTTTCTTAAAATCTAAAATTAATGAGAAAAAGTAGTTGAAAATTTAAATACCTTTTATAAAAATTTACATTATTATATATTTAGTATGACACTTTTTATTTGTGCAACTTACATGTGTTATATTATAATAATTTTTTTAACTTACAACATATAACTACATTAAGCAAAAATATATCAATTGAGAAATAATTTTATTTTTCTAATGAATTTTATAAATATTATTATTTTTATTATTATAAATATAAATATAATTTATTCATTATTATAAATATAAATATAATTTATTCATTTCATATATACAATATAGATGTCAAATCGAAGATCATCAAAAGATGATTAATTTGATATATTATATATGTAAAACCGATACGAAATACACAAGTTGTCGACTTTTAATACATTTATAATTCAATAGCTAATTGAAGGAAACAAATCAAAAGTCAGGGATATATTAGTCACTTAGTGCCCCAATATGTAAAATTACAAAGAAATAAAGGGTTATATTAGTACAAGTGATATTAAAATACCTAAGTTAGCTAAATAATATTTATGGAATGTCCAAACCTAAATTATTAATTATTAATATATCAATATTATTTGTCCAAACCTAATTACGAAGCATGATTTTTTGCCAAGTAGGATTCCGAAGCACCAGAAGCAGCCACGTAGGCTCAGCGCATTCGGGAACTAAACATGCAAAATATAGCGGTTTTTATTTTAATTATCCCAAAAATATAATTAAATATTTTATCATTAATGAGATAGAGTGGATTAATGCCACATTGATAAAATTTGTTATGTTTATTTATTAAGTTATATTTTATGATTTGCCACATATGTAAAATTCATTAAGTAAAATTTATTAGGTAAAACTAAATAAAATGTTAGCAATTATATATATATATATATATATATATATATATGTATTTCTTCACTTCTTTATTTTGATACTAATATTTAACTTTCGAGTGCTCGTGATATTCACGCGCGTTATTAACTCCTGAATAAATTAATTGTCCTTACTTAATTTTGACAAAACAAAATATATATTAAATAAATTAATAATGCCTCATAAAAATATTTAATAGAATTCAAAATAATATTGAATAAAATTAATTTCCTATTAATTACTTATAGTTGTTTTTTTTTTTCGCAATAAGAATATGATTTATTTCATTTTTTGTTGGAATTAATTATTGTATGAAATAATAATAATAATAATTATAAGAAAAAAACAGAGTCCTTGTAACAACAATTTTATGATTCGTCTCGCAGGTGAGGGCGAGGACTATGCCCATCCGGACCGGTTCAGCTCAAATGTCGATCAAAATGGCGAAAATATCCACCGCCGGAGCCATTTCCGGTGCGCTAACTTTTTTCTCGCCGGAGTTGGGCGAGAAACTGATAACTCATTATTCCTCGAGAGCTGACTTTGTCTTCTCTGCTTCCCAGATCTCGGTAAAACCTTTTTATCTCAGCATTGCTTATACGTTATTTCGTCTTTGACGTTTTAGGTTACAGTTAATTAGTATTTTTTTGATTTCAACGAACTATTCATATGCATGTTGCAGTTGACTAATTTCGTATTTAAACCTGCGGCATGGTCTGCATTGTTTTGTTGATTTGTCTTTGTTCTCCGTTCTAATGTTGAATTTGGTGCAACTTTTCAGTTCTCTTTTTATATTCTTCTACTTGCATTCATGAATTTGCTCAGCCTCAGACCCGCTGCTCGCAGCTTTTACCCCACGACCATCAATTGTGGTAATCAAAATGGCGCCTTTGGTGTAGGATTATGTCCAAAACCACTCCGAGTGCGTCTAAATCCTTTCAAATTATCTGTGAATAATGATTTTAAGCTCTCATTCTTTCGCAGTGGTTTGAACAATAGAAAGAAAATTGTTCGTAGATTTCAACATTTTGTGCCGTCTGCTTTAGCCGAGACTTCATCGGCCGATGGCCATCCACCGTCTAATCATGATGCCGATAAAAAGCTTGCGGTGGTCGCTTGGTCTGCCACAACTCTGTTACTTGCAGTCTCAACTCGCGTGTTGCAGAAACTTGCTCTTGTCCCGATGAAGGAGTACCCATTTTTTCTCGCTCAATTCAACAGTTTCACGTAGGTTCTGAATCTTTTTCTTATAGATTTGATCAATTCTACTCATAATTTTATGAATTTGACTGAGTCTTATGTGAAATTGTTGTATATTTGAGCATCATAATATGGTGCTAGCTTTTCTACCTATTTGAGGAGGTGATCAGTATAGTATATTCTAGGGTAGACCGTTCAATATAAATGAAACTTGCATCCGTTTTTGGAACTTGTCTATGAAAGAGAACCAGGTCATCCATTCAAATATGGGGACAATATGCACATTGATATGGATCCTTTGTGATGTAAAAGGTGTATGCCATGGGTGACTATGTTTTTTGAAGAGAACCTCATTTCTGCACCCAGTATCTCTTTCTTACAAAATGATTATGCAAGTATTCAGTGTGCATTCTAAAAGAGGTAGCTAAATAGGTATAAGTTCTTGGAAACTGTAAACTCCATGAATGTCTGTCTCACTTTGAAGGAATTTAAATATTTACATGTGGGCAGTGATCAACTGGAACACAATTTTCCATCTAATGAAAGTTTCCCAGAACCGACAGAAATGTCAAAATAAAAATTTTGTCCAGAGTGTTCTCGAGGCAGCAAACCATTTATAGATATAGATTCGCGTGCAAGTGAGACTTATTGTAAATACAAGGTACTTCTAGAATTAGCTTTAAATATCAGGGTCTTCCCTGGCATATGATTTCAGATTCCATACATATGGCCAAATGGGAATTTTATAATTCAAGTACATGAAAGCTAGAACATTAAGAAATGATGGTATGTAAGAAACTTTCAGTTCAAAGTGGGTGAAGATACAACAAGTTTATAAGTCGCTTACAATTCTTTATTTCTTCTTATGATCATAGATAGTCAGGTTTGCTAGCTACCAACAGAGAGATGCTGTTTTTGTAACTTGTTTTGGAAGAATGGATATTCCAGTAATTTATTGCTTTTTATGCTAGACAGGTATGTGGCTGTTTATTTTACTGTGCTCTGCCTGAGATATCGTGCTGGTATAACAACTGATGAGATGCTAGCCCTCCCAAAATCACCCTTTATTGCGATTGGGTTTCTTGAATCAATTTCTCTTCTATCTGCGATGTATGCTGGAGGTACCAAGATTATCTCTATTCATGCTTCAAAAATCATCATTCAGATAAAATAATCCAAAGACTGAAACTGATTCATTAGATTGTGCTTTACAAACTATAAGTCAGTTTATTATATTTATTGTGCTCTTGCTCTCTCCTTGTGCTTCGTGTCCTGTTTCCTTTTATCTACTTCTCCTTTTTGCTTTTCGAGCCGCGAAGGTAATCCATGAATTAATAGGTGGCAGTAGTCTGAATGATTCATTTGAGACCAACATAGTAAATCAAAAGCCACAGTTCATTTTATGACAGAAGATAAATCAACCTTTCCTTTCTATGGCAACCTTTTTATTGTTAACATGTATCATTTGCAGCCATTCTTCCAGGACCAGCTATACCCTTATTGTACCAGGTCAAGTATTATTTATTTTTTTAATTTAAATATATTTTGGACCATGTTAATTTCAATTCTCTCATATTCTGGTCATTATTTGTTTTTGTACATCTCGTTTCAGCTTTGAATTATTTTTCTATTTAGTATTTACACTCGCAGTTCTATTATCTGCCATATTATATCTTACTGGACTATAAATGAATGGATTTATGAATGGCTTGTTCATCAATTGCTTTGATACAATATTGTTCTGTGTAGTTGCTCATGCTTTCTACTGATGGCATGTAGGATTGTTTCCTGAGTGGAACTAAATGGCTTGTTCATCAATTGCTTTGATACAATATTGTTCTGTGTAGTTGCTCATGCTTTCTACTGATGGCATGTAGGATTGTTTGCTGAGTGGAACTAAAAATGCAAATCATGTTATCAAGGCCCTCCAACGTACCAAATTACCAAGATAAATATCAGTTCATCCGACATTAATTTACGAGTTGTAACCTTGTTACTTATGGATCATCAATAGGAGTTTATTGATGGGTCATTAAAAATGATGATTAAGTAGGATTATACAAAGTCTTAAATTGATCTAACTAAGTATTTATAGGTTGTGAAAATCTTGTGCATTGTTGTTATTTATGATTCATCAGAATCTGAAACATGAGAACCCCATGATGCATTGCAAACAGGTGAAGAGCTTTGATTCAGGGATCATTTTTTATTAGGATGAGGAGATGAGCAAACATATTGTTTTTACTGTTTGCTTCTATGATCTATTCTCCATGTTATGGCCTTTCAGAAAGGAATGTTTTAGCAACAGATTTTACAGCTACACCCTTTATTAGATTTTTTTTCATTTCAATATAGATGTCTTGTTACAGACTTCTGTTTCGAAATGTTCCATGTGGTATAAATAACTTAATATAAAAGAAATTCCAATCTGATTACACCGTCTTTCTGTGTGGTATTTGTGTTCACCTAACAAGTTTGTAAACTTTAATTTGGTATTTGTGACCTCTAGTTGCACGCTGGAAGTGGAACTATTCTGACAGAGATGTCATTGTTTTACACCACATGTGTATCTTTGAGCGCCTTTATGTTAGTTTTTGTGATTATGTGGATTATCTGGAGAGTGGATTTACAAGTGGGATTTGGGTAGACACTGGGCTGTGTTATATGTTTGATTCTTTTCTTTGTTATTTCTCCATCAGATTCTCATACGTCCAGATGAACATTTTTTTTTTTT